CCAGTCCTGTCAACCCATCTGAAATCAGATAGAAAGCACAGCTTTGCTAAATATAACTTCCAGTATGACGTCCAAACATTTAATCCAGGGTTAGGTAACCTCAGGCCTGGCGTCTCTTTACCTATTCCTTAAGATTCTCCACACGCCACACCTCTCATCTGCCCTACTGACAGAAAGTTGCCCTTGAATGGTTGTCTGGATGGATGATAAAGGTGGATATGTGTGTGTTTGTAGAAGCCCATACCCGCTAAAGTTTCTCTGATAAAAATAGGGACATCCTATTCCATAATAATACAGAGGTACCTCGGGTTAAGAACTTAATTCGTTCTGGAGGTCCGTTCTTAACCTGAAACTGTTCTTAACCTGAGGTACCACTTTAGTTAATGGGGCCTCCCGCTGCCGCCACGCCACTGCTGCACAATTTCTGTTCTCATCCTGAAGCAAAGTTCTTAACCTGAGGTACTATTTCTGGGTTAGCAGAGTCTGTAACCTGAAGCGTCTGTAACTTGAGGTACCACTGTAATAATATTTTTATTTTTTATTTTTTTAATTGTTTATATTTAATTTTACAAATATAAATTTATAATGAACCCAAATGCATATCCATATAAAGAGATTTCTCTGAATCTAGATTTCTCTGAATCTCGTGACCTCCCCCATCCCTCCATGGGTCCTAATGTCAATGTTTTCAACTGCATATTATACCATAATCTATATCTTATATCTGTCCATATTATCCTTAGTATTTGTTACATTACAAGTGAGATTAAAATCCTGCTAATGTTTTCATCTGCTTATAGTGGTCTCCTAAGTAAATTATAAATTTCCCCCATTCTTCCTTGAAATTTTGGTCTTCTTGATCCCTGAGCTTTCTGGTCAGTTTTGCCATTTCGCTGTAGTCTAGCAGCTTAATTTGCTATTCCTCTCTGGTAAGGGGTTCTTTCTTCTTTCCATCTCCAAGCTAATAGCATCCGTCCTTCTGTTGTCGCATACATGAAAAAAATGTTTAAAACAACTTCTGTAAAAAAGAAAACAGAAGCCCTTTTTATTAGGAATTGTAGGTATCAACATCCCAAAGGAACAGAAAAGGCTTTTCAATGAGTTTTATATATATATATACCATGCTCACCTGATTGGGTTGCCCCAGCCACTCTGAGTGGCTTCCATCGTATACAAAAACATAATAAAACAATAAACATTAAAAGAAACAACTTCCCTATACAGGGTTGGTTTCCGATGTCTTCCAAAGAGACTCCATCTCCTCAGAGTATTGCGAAAGAACGAGGTCAATCAACATTTGATGATCTCCTTCTACCAGTCCACAATAGAAAGTGTCCTTTCATACTGCATCACAGTGTGGTATGCTGGTTTGACATCAACTGATAGGAAGTGCCTACAGAGGGTGGTGAATACAGCACACAATATTATGGGCTGTCCCGTGAATCCACTGGATGACATCACGGAAGAACTTTGCCTCAGGAGCGTGAGGAAAATTCTCAGGGATGATTCACACCCTGGCCGGCACTTTCTTGATCTCCTGCCCTCGGGCAGAAGATATAGAAGCATGATTAGTCACACCAACAGTGTAAAGAACAGCTTCTATCCGTGAGCTGATAGGCTGCTGAATGAAAAGGTAACAACAGGGCAACTGACTTTTGGGTTTGGTGGGTGTGCGTCAGTAAACGAGGTGAGTTAAGACTAAGAGAGCTGAGTGAGGGGTGCTCGTGTAATCTCACTGTATACAAGTTGTACAAGGGACAATAAAGTATTTCAATTTCAATAAAGGCTGTATAGTTACTTGTCTCCTTGGGTCGGAGGTCTCATAACTCCTTCCCCTTCAAAATTTCTCCAGTGAAAATAGGGACATTCTGGGATCAAATCAAAAACCAAGATGGCTTCTGTAAATCCAGGACTGTCCCTGGAAAATAGGGACACTTGGAGAGTCTGAAATTCACCTACTGTGCAAACAAAAAAATATTGTCTTTGTCTACCCATGTTGGCGTCAAGACCCGCCCACCACTGACATGTGACCTTTGGAAGCCTGCCCAGATAGGAGTGTGCCCTTCAGTCTGAACAAAATGGCTCCCCATCCCTGTCTTAAGCGTTTGCGGTGTTCATCAGCTTGCAAACAAGTACTTATCTAAATAAGCATTGGACACTTTCCTCTACTTTCTGCACTTGTCTGTTGCCTGCTGCCCATAGCACTAACTTCCTCAAGCAAGGCAAATTGTTTAGCTCCAATGATCTGTCACAGCTGAGAGAATTCTCGTTTCTTTTTGTTTATTTATTTTAATTCAAGTTTTCTCATAGGGAACAGAGTCAGTTTTCATTACTACAGGAAATAAGGTTCACACAGGCTAGAGCCAAGGTAATTGGCGAAGAATTGTACAGGGAAGAAGCTTCTGCTGGATCAGCACCCCAAAATGAAATGTGAATAAATATATACATAACTTTAAAACCTTCCGTCTGTTCTGTTTGTGTTTGGCCGGAAGTGCAGACATTTTCACTGTAGCTGTCAGAGCTGGGATACCAAGCGACTTGTGTTGTTGTTTCAAGCTACCGTATTTTTTGCTCTATAAGACTCACTTTTTCCCTCCTAAAAAGTAAGGGGAAATGTGTGTGCATCTTATGGAGCAAATGCAGGCTGCGCAGCTATCCCAGAAGCCAGAACAGCAAGAGGGATTGCTGCTTTCACGGCGCAGCGATCCCTCTTGCTGTTCTGGGGACTGAGATTCAGAATATTTTTTTCTTGTTTTCCTCCTCCAAAAACTAGGTGTATCTTGTGGTCTGGTGTGTCTTATAGAGCGAAAAATACGGTACTTTAAAATGAGAACTTATTGAGCAGCAGGGATATGTTATAGCCTGTTGTCTGACAAACTCCAGCATGACTCCAGCAAGGAACTCAGGGCATGACTGGCCCTATGGCAGGGCTCAGAAACATTGTGGTCCTCCAGATGTTGCAAGATTATAGCACCCACCTTCCCTGATCATTTTTCATTCCAGCTGGTGAGTGATTGGGCTTGGGACACAATAATATCTGGCAAGCAAGCGCACATTCCCTAAGTCTTTGTTGGGAGTAAAGCAACAATGCTCGCAATAAGTTGTGTACCAAGACCTCGTAACCATGCAGTTCCCTATCGAGTGTTGGGGGGACTGCCCCTCAAAATGGACTCGAAGGTCCAAACGTATCAGAGAACAAAGGCGGGGGGAGGGACTTCCTGTTGGCGCCCTTCTTGCTGCGGAAGTCGGAAGCAGGGTTTAGAGTAGGCAACTGGCCTCCTTGCGGAGAGCTGTATGTTTGTGCTTGCAACACGATGCAAGGTCTATAAATATATCAACTGCTTGTTAATTCTTATCTATCTATCTATATAATTTTTTTTAACATACCATTTTCAACAGTAATTAAACATATTTTTACATCTTATTCAATTTTTTTGACTTCCATCAGTCCTGTCTAAAAATTTTCCAATCTAATCTCTTAGTATACATTTCTTATTTTCCCTGTTACATTTAAAACTCATAACCAATATCTCTATTCTTTATCTACATTGTAGCACTTCATATATTCCTCCTTAAAAACCTTCCTGTAGTCCTACTAGCGTAATTTGTTGGTTACAATTGCTTTTCAAATAGTTCATATACTTCTTCCAATCTTCTGTAAATCTCTGGTCCCGCAGGTTTTGAATCCTTCCTGTCATTTTGTCCAATTCTGCATAGTCCATTATTTTCGTCTGCCATTCTTCTTTCCTCAGAATTTCTTCTTGTTTCCATTTCTGGGCTAACAATATTCTTGCCGCAGCTGTTGCATATAAAAACAATTGAACATCTTGCCTATTAATGTCCTGACCTATAATACCAAGTAAAAATACTTTTGTTTCTTTTAAAAAATGTATATTTCAACATCTTTTTCATCTCATTATATATCATTTCCCAGAAGTTCCTTACTTTTTTTACATTCCCACCACATATGATAAAATGTTCCTTCTTTTTCTTTACATTTCCAACATTTATTATTTGTCTTATACATTTTAGCTAATTTCACTGGTGTAATATACCATCTATGCATCATTTTCATCCTATTCTCTTTCAAAGCATTACAGGCTGTAAATTTTATCCTTTCAATCCACAGCCTTTCCCATTCTTCAACCTGTATATTATATCCAAATCTTTTGCCCAATGTATCATTACCGATTGCTTGTTAATTCTTATCTGTTAAGTTACCAAAGGGAGGGGGAGTGTGCTGGTCCAGTGGGTTAACCGTGAGGCGAGGTCTGAGTCCAGTCCAAGGTCGAGGGTACAGTATGAAGGCAGTCCTTCAAAGCTGAAGCGGGGTCCAAGGCAGGGAGTCGGGTGAGGTCAGGAGCTCCGGCAGAAGAGCAGGACAGGGTGCAGGCAGGAACAGGCTACCAACAATGTTGCTCCCGCAACTTGGGACTGGGGCTGGCCGGCTTTTATCTGCCCCGAGGCATAGGGTGGCCCCAGTCCACAGGTGACTCGCCTCTCCTGGCCTGGAGGTGAGCACTCCTCCTGTGGGAACTTAGTTCCCTCTGCCTCTCTGCCCTGAGCCTCTGCAGCTCAGGAGAGGCTGGAGGGTTACCGGACCCAGAGGCAACCTCAGCTTCCTCTGACGGGGCTGAGAGTGGAGCACCTGTAGGCAATGGGTCATCACCTCAGGAGCCAGAGCAGACTCAGCTGGTGCCTGCACCTGAGGATCTAGCACAGGTGAGGACCCTTCAGGCTCATGCCCCAGCCCCGGCTCAGCTGGTTCTGGAGGCGGGGACTCCTGTGCAGGCTGGGATTCCTCAGGTTCAGCCTCCGAGTCCGAATCCCAGGCCATCACAGGGAGGATTCTCCATGCCTGACAGTTAAATTAGCAATGCATACAAGTGTGAGCGTTTATATATTGATACTCACCCTCAGTGAGGGCTTCAGAGCATTGACTACAATAACTGGTAGCAGATTTCCAGAGTTTTCAGACAAGCTCCTCTCCCTGCCCTGCCTGGAGTTGCTGGGAATTGAACCTGCAGCCTTCTGCCTACAAATCAGATGCTCTACCACTGAGCTATAGCCCTTGCCTGTGCCCCAGGGGGGTATAGCATTCCCATGTGTGCAGAGTGCAAAGCAACCCATGGCGTTGCAAGCTTTCCCACCAGTCCTCGCAATGCAGAGGCCCTCTGTTGTGCCAACCCTTCACAATCACACACATTTTGTCTGCCGGTCTTCAATAAGGAATGATGATGTTGTCACACTTTATGTAAAAACGCCTTTTTGATAAAGCTGCTTTAAATATGGATTTATGTTTATGCTTATGTTCAGTAGCCCCTGTGCACATTTAGGTGGAGAAGAGCATTAATTCTTATTAGGAGAAAGAAAAGCAGAGCATTTGGGCTTTCCGAAAAAGAAGGTGTGACTGATGTAATTTATGAAGCATGGAGACTGTAATCGAATTAAAAGTTTGATGCCACCATGTACTGCAAAATCAATTGTTCTCCTAAATAGGCTCTGACCTGAAAAAAAGCAACACGCACAAATGTAATTCACGAGGACTTTCTAATGAGAGGTCCTAGGACAGCCAATCACTTCTTGGTGGCTTTTGAAATTGCACTCTGAGAGCAGATTAGAAGACAGCCCTGCGGGGCAGAGAGATTACTGACGAATGTCTTTTGGAAGTGGGTTTAACTTGGCACTGTAGGTGGCGGTTTGTGAGGAAGATGAAGGGGCAACAGAAAATGTTTGTTTTGCTCAAGCAACCTAGTTGTGGTCTCCTCAGTTGGAATAAATGAGTGGTGAAGGACCTCTGACCCGGGGACTGAATGTGGTCGCTCAGTCTTTTCTATCTAGACTTTGGGATTCTTCCCAAGCCCTCTCCTCCTAGCCCACTCCCCGTGGTTCATATGTTCCTTGAGTGTTTCCAGCTGACTGGAATGTCCCCCTGCACTCTAGCATCTACCCTTGCTGGCCTGGATGAAGGATGTGTAGGGTGTGCAAGTCTGTGTGGGAACTGGGCCATTGTACCAAAGTAAAATGTGGTCTAAACCACTGAGCTCCTTGGGCTTGCAGATCAGAAGGTTGATGGTTTGAATCCCCATGACGGGGTGAGCTCACTCTGTCCCAACTCCTGCCAACCTTAGCAGTTCAAAAGCATGCCAGTGCAAGTAGATAAATAGGTACTGCTGTAGTGGGAAGTTAAACGGCATTGCCATGTGAAGGGAAGCTTTGCTTTTGCACATGACTGCGGCATGATGGGAAGCTTTGCTTCTGCACATGACTGCGGCATGATGGGAAGCTTTGCTTCTGCACATGACTGTGGCATGATGGGAAGTCTTGCTTCTAAGCTTTTCTTCTGCTCATGCTGCACAAACTGTGATGATGCTAAGACATTCCCTCATCACCCTGGTACGTTCTGTTCACCTTGAGTTCACACCATATCAATCTGTACTTATCCCTCTGTGCACATTCCTTTCGTACCACCCTGGAACGGGCAGTCCATTAGTAGCACCACATCAATCATGATAAGAAGGAAACCATGCCTGTCTAAACTCCGCGTTCCTTTTCCCAACCTTTAACCTATCGATGATTAATGTCTTATATGCAACCCTTGCTTTGTACTTATGTTAACCAATCAGCAACAAGCACATACGTGGCAAACGCTGTAATATTCAATAAAAGAGACTCTCCGGGACTTGCTCGAGAGATGCCTCCCGTATGACACCTACCTACTCGTCTGTCGTTTATTTCAACCCAACAGCCATGTGCTCTCGTTTCCATCACGGTGTCCCATTGCACCAGAAGGGTTTAGTCATGCTGGCCGCATGACCTGAAAAACTGTCTGTGGACAAACGCCGACTCCCTCTACCTGAAAGCGAGATGAGTGCTGCAACGCCATAGTTGCCTTTGACTGGACTTAACCTCCCAGGGGTCCTTTACCTTACATCCATTGCTCCACCCAGTTCTGGGCATTTTTATTTAAATATTAAATTCCAAGTGGCTTTAAGTTGCAGTCATTTAATATTAAAATATATGTTCTTCAGTATTTGTTTAAATGCATGCATTTTTTATTATTTAAAATGAACAAATGCTCTTCCACAGGATGCCAAAGTGCCTTTTTGAGTTCATTCCCCCCCCCCCCAGTGAAAACACCAGTTAAGAAGCCCAGAGAATGCCAATTTATATTACCAGACATTGCCATGTGAAATTGTGACTGTTTCTGAACTTGGTCCATCAAAATAAAAACCTAATGGGAATCCAGGATTCTCTAAACCAGTATATTTGGGATGTACTGTGGTCCCCATGTGATGAAATCTAAAATGTGTGTGGGGGGTGTCAAGCCTGCTACATTTATTGCATCTAATCTGCAGTAAGTGTTTGCAAGCTAGCGCTGTGCTGAAAATTCCCCTTGCTTCTCTTTCACCCATTCTCCACCAATTAATCAGAAAAGAAATTGCAGGCAAAAATTATCAAAGGAGAGAGAAATTCTCATGAGTGGGGAGCAGGGATTTGGTTGTACTTGGCTTATTTTCGAAGTAGCCGAAGGGTGTTAGTCAGTGCACTTTTGCTTATTCCACAAATCGTCTCTCTCGAGGTCCATCATCTTCAAGCCTTCCTTCAGCCTATGCTTCGTGAAAACCCCAAAACGTCCTCACAGGGATTTCCTTGTGGACAGAGAAGAATTGCCTACTATGTTGATTTTTTTAGAACAGTGAAGTCTGTTTACTTTTACAGAAATCAGAGCTGAAGGATTATTTAAAAAGAAAAGAGAAGATAAAGGTCATCCTTTAAGAATAAAATCAGTGCACCAATCTCAGGTGTTTGGTAGCCATTCTTCACAGCTTCCCACACTTCAATTAGACATCCAGGGGGAAAATGTCCTAATGTCCCAATGTCCCATGGGGCTTTTTTACAGTGGGGAAGCACAGGCATCTGAGGAGGCTGAGGAGTGCTGAAGAAATGCTTAATGGGAAGGGGGAAGAAAACAAACCACCCACAGCCACGTCATGGTGATTAATAAGCTCAGTCTTGTACTGCCACCCCCGAAAGTATAAAAGAATTCAAAAGCAAGAGAAGAAAGCAGCTGCCTCCTTTGTAAGCGAAGAAAACATTTCAGAAACTGAGGGTCAGGCCCAGCACTATTAAAGACTAATGATGCCAGCTTTGTAAATAGCGCTATGGCTTTTAAAAATGTGTAGGTTCAAGTATGAGGACCTCAGAGTGGGTGTGCCAATTAAACTGACGTTGCCAGTGCAGGTTGCTAAGAGGTAAAGGAAACATTTAATCCTGGAAGTGGACAATGAAGAGACCTCAAATATAGCATCTCACAGCCTTCTAGACCTACCTAAATGTGTCAAATAACTTGTGCTTGAATCTCTTTGTTCTAGAGGAGCTTCAGGCTTATTCCCCTAACACTTAGGATATTGTATGTTTTTAATAGATCATCTCTATCTACGGAACCTCCAAGTGTCTGTATTTTCCAGGGACAGACCCAGATTTACAGGAGGTGTCCCAGTTTCTGATATGATCCAGGAATGTCCTGCGTTTCCTTGAAAAGTCCCTATTTTCCTTGGAAAAATGTTGGAGGGTATGCGATCTATATATTTCTATTAATCTTTCATTTTTATTTTTATTTTAGTATTGGGTTTCTTCTGTTTTTAGTTGCTCTCATTTTATCTGTAAGCCACCTTGAGTCCCTGTCAGAGAAAAAGATGGGGTATAAATAAATATATAGCAGCAGCAGCAGCAACCACCTTAAATGTACATTGATCTGCAGAAATCAGCCGGTGAAGCTTTTCACAACTAACTTCTGAAGACCGAACTGTTGCTAAAGCCGCAGGACTGTGGAAAAATATATATATAAGGTAAGGTAAAGGGACCCCTGACCATTAGGTCCAGTCCTGACCGACTCTGGGATTGTGGCACTCATCTCGCTTTATTGGCCGAGGGAGCCGGCGTACAGCTTCCGGGTCATGTGGCCAGCATGACTAAGCCACTTCTGGCAAACCAGAGCAGCTCACGGAAATGCCGTTTACCTTCCCGCCGGAGCGGTACCTATTTATCTACTTGCACTTTGACAGGAGCAGGAGCAGGGACCGAGCAACGGGAGCTCACCCCGTCGTGGGGATTCGAACCACCGACCTTCTGGTCGGCAAGTCCTAGGCTCTGTGGTTTAACCCACAGCGCCACCTGCATCCCTTTAAAAAAAAAAGAAGGTAAGATGGACCTATTTCATCAATGCAATGGCTCATCCAGTTCAGAATCCTGTTCTTACAGTGGCTAGCCAGATACCTGTGGGAAGCCTGCAAGGTGGGCCTGAATGCTACAGCACTCTGCCCACCTGTAATTCCCAGAAACCAGCATTCAGATGCCTTTGACTGCAGCGATGTGACAACTCTGCTCATACCCATTTGAATTAAGCTAATATCGTCCCCTGCTTTTCTCAGAGTACTGCAGCGCAAGGGTGGGGAAACGTGAAATCGTTGGTTTTTCTCATCTTTCCCATCTTAAGTTTAGTTCTCCACGTCCGTTTGCAATTATTTTATTTATCCTCGTGGAAAAATCACCAGCATTTTAGTTCTAATATAAATATTGCTGTAGGCAGTTCGTCCCTAATATACACCTTTTTTGCAAAGCAGGTTTTGCCAATACACATTTTGACAAAGCAATTCCCCCTAATATCATGCATTTCGGTAAAAACAATTTCCCCTAATATATGCCTTCCGATGCACCCTTGACTCTTGTACATGCATTTTCAACTCTTTTTGCTTGGCTTGAGAAATGCATTGCAAAATTCAGAGAAGTGCAAATTTCTGTTTTCAGTTAACATACTGCTCCAAAAAGTGTGAATAATGTATGTTCTCCTTTAAATGTGAACTGATTTAAATTACCCTCCCCCCCCCAGTCCTACAAGGGAAGACAGTTTGAACTGTTAAACGATGGATCTTTGGATTTTCAAAAGAACTATATTAAGCTATGTTTGCTTGTATTAGGAAGCACCTTCCCCCCCTTAAAGGTCCCTTTTAAAAACTGGATTTGTGGGGTGGGGGCAGGTGGAATGCAACAAAGGAAGATTTCATTGGCA